GGGGGCCGCGGCCGGGGGGCCCTGCCCGCCTCCGCCTCCCGCCTGCTCTCACCTGTCCCTAGCGGTCCCCCTGCCTTCAAGGCCGGCGGCTGCACCGGGCGGAGAGAGCACCTGCGGACGGACGCGGGCTGCCCGGCATCGCCTTTTCACCCCCCAGGTGATGAGCGAGGTCGGGAGCAGGGAAGAGTCACACAGCGACCGGGGCCTCCGGATTGAATGAAACGCGTGCGAAGGCGTCACCATGAACACGAGCAGTGAGTGAATCCTCCTCTCCTTTGCCATGGGAACAGGGCCGGGGGGTGGTGGGGGTGCAGGAGTCCGCGCCCCGGAGCCTGGCATCGGCCCGGACCCCCCGCGCGCCCCGGCCGCGCCTCGGGAGCGTCCCCCGGGCACCGGGAAGCCTGTCCGTCTGGCTTTCCGTGATGGTTTTGCTGCTGTGTCGTCCCCGGCGTCAGTTGCCTCTGCCTGGGGGGGGGGGGGGGGACTGCTGTCTCCTTCTGGCACTGCCTGCGAAGGCCTAGGAAGCGGCAATGTGGCCATTGTCTGGCTGTGGGGGCTCGGAGGGGCCCTCCCTGCGCACCCCTGGCCAGCCGTGCAGGCCCTGTGCGTTCTGAGAAGAGCCAGACGCGGGGAGGATGGTGCTGGGCGGGCATGGGCGGGCACTGGCATGGGGAAAGCTCAATGTGATAAACAGATCCCTCCGAAGCCACCTTTTGGGGATTTGGAGGCTGTGGAAGATCCGGCTTCGTGCGTCCTTCGGTGCGCTGGAGCCCAGGCAGGCTCCCTGCCGACCTGGCAGGCTGCTTAGACACCCTGAAGAGCCCAAGGAAAGAGCTAGCCCTCCCCGCAGCCGCTCTCAGGTGCCAGGGGCTGCAACTGTCTTACAGAGCCAGGACCAGACATGTTGCTTGCGGGGTCGGGCCTGGGTTCCTGAGAAATGCACTGGAGCCTCAGGTAGAGGCACTCTTCAGTAACAGCCCCTGGGATCCTGTGGGCAGGGGCGGGGTGCTGGGAAGGTCTTACTCTCCAGCTCTGTTATCAGCTGGGCTTGTCCAGCATCAGGTGGGGTTGTTGGGCCAGAGGCCCTACAAACATTTCCAGGTCCTGAGGCTCTGAGTTTGCTGTTAGTCCCTGTTCTGCCTCCCAGATTGCCCATCTTTGAGATCAGAGGGACTGTGATCTAATCATCTGTAAATTCTGTCTCCAAGAGCTAGAGCTGAACAGCAAAGCCAAACAAATTTTGAGTACCTGTATTGAGACCATCCAGCCAAACCCTCTCGTCTCAAGGCCGTTGGCATAGGGAAGAGGAAACAAAGCAAAAGCAACTGGGATGGAAATGAAATATATTTACTATGTATTTGTATGAGTCATCTCTCCCCGGCTTTCTTTGTATATTGCATAGCCATGCTAAGCAAGGGAGTGAGGCTGGACTCCCTCAGCCACTTCCAGCCAAAGCATTTTGCCTTTCGATTTTGACAGTCTGGAATGATGGGTTGGCTTCATACGAGACTGGAGAAAAGAGCAAAATCCTCTGGACGCTTTTACCTTGTGAGCTATATGTTTGCATCTGTGTGATTCCAGAAAAAAAAATAAAGATGTGAATTGCCTGTCACTTCTCACTATCTCTAGAAAAAAAGAAATGTATTTATGGGAGTCTTTCCCCATTAAGTGATAGAAGGGAGAGATGGCTCATTTATTTTTCAAGAAACTAAGAGGCAATAAGCATCTGACTCTGCCTTTCTGTCTCCGGAATCCTAAAGAACTCTTATCCTGTTAGTAACTATGAATATTCCTGAAAGAAAGAAACAGGTTTTCCTTTCTTTTGTTGTTTAAAGAAATAATTATCCATAGAGTGATTACTGCAGAAGACAAGGACTGGCAAAAATGCCATTCAAGTTTCATCCACTTTTTCTAAGCAAGGAGGATGTGTATTTCATGGGTAGCCTTGGGATATCTGAGTTACCCATAAGGAAAAAAAATGCTTCTCTGAATAAGTAGCTGGGGGAAGGTTGTGGAAGAGACTTACACTCAGGACTTGGGATCTAGCCATCATCAAAGTTCTCCCAACTGGGAGAGTGTGCAATGAAGAATAGAAATCAGACCTCATAGGAGTGACAGACTGAGCATTGGCAGGAGATCCTTGGCTGACCTAATCTAAGAAAAAAAATGCTCCCTTTTGAGATGTGAAGTTATTAACCTAATTCTTACACCTGAAATTGTCCCTAGCAGAAATGCGCAGTCAGTAGTGTTTGTTTCAGTTCTGGTTTGGGTGTCCCCACCCCTGAGGCAGACTCTCTCTAAGCTGTGGGATGGGTGTCATTGTTACAGCTTAGTAGCTAATATTCAGTAACTTCATTCAAGTTAGGAAGCTAATTGTGTTACAAAAGGCACTGGGCTATTTACTATATTTGACAGTGGGTACCATCCCTAATTAGTGATTCAAATGCCAGTGTTGAAGTGCTGCCAAAGCATGAGCTTAGTGTTTAAACTCTTAATCACTTCATCCCGAGAAGGGCAGAGAGCTATATTCTTGGTGTGGCTATAAGAGTGATAGAGCTGCCAGGCACCGGTGGCACACACCTGTAATCCTGGCTACTCAGGAGGCTGAGATCTGAGGATCACGGTTCAAAGCCAGCCCAGGCAGGAAAGTCTGTGAAACTCATATCTCCAATAAACCACCAGAAAACCAGAAGTGGCACTATAGCTCAAGTGGTAGAGCACTTGCCTTGAGCTGAAGAGCTGAGGGACAGTGTCCAGGACCCACAACCAACAAAAAAAAAAAAAAAGAGCGATAGAGTTCAGGCTGTGGAATCGGAGGGTCCCAAATTCCATATTTCCCGTTTCTCTTATTAATTGGGTGACCTTCAGAATGGTGTCTCACCACCTGCAAGGATGAGAATGGAAACTATGTGCTCATGTTTAGTGTAAACTATAGAACTGGGAGACTTGCCCGCTGATGCACTGTCATCACATCACTGATGGGTGGCCAAGCTGTCATCGTCACTGTAGCAATTGGCCGGTTGGGACCATTGTCACCATTGATTTAAGGACATTAGTAAGCAGGTCATTCAGCCTCTCAGATGTCACACCCAAACCATGAATTGTGAAGTGAACCTGAAGTATGAATTTTGAGGATTAGATGCGGCTATAAGGAAATGTTTGTGTAAACATGTATAAATTATTAATATATATCTCCAGAAAATGACCCAAAAAAGCCAGAAGTGGCATTGTGGCTCAAGTGGTAGAGTGCTCACCTTGAGCAAAAGAACTTAGGGACAGCATCCAGGCCCAGAGTTTTTTGCCTAGGACTGGCAGAAAGAAAGAGAAAGACAGAAAGAAAGGAAGAAAGGAAGGAAGGAAGGAAGGAGGGAGGGAGGGAGAGAGGGAAGGAGAAGGGAGGGAGGAATGCAGGGAGGGGGAAGAGAAAAAGAAGAGAGGGAAGGAGAGGGGGAGAAGAAAGGGAGGGAGGAAGGAGAAAGAAAGGAAGGAAGGAAGGAAGGAAGGAAGGAAGGAAGGAAGGAAGGAAGGAAATTTTTCTCAAATAGCGACTGCTCAGTGTAGATGTTAGTTTCAACAGGATCCTCTCTTGCAACATTTTGCTGAGCCTTAGTCCACCAAATGATGGGCACTTTTGAGGAAAGGGTAATTCTGGAGTTGAAAGAGTAGAGTAGCAGACAGACCTGAGTGGGTATGACAGGTAGGGTATGGTCCTCTGAGCCAATGAGGAAGAAGAAAAAGGCTTCCTAGAGGAGGAACAAGACTGGAGGCCACCCAGACCTGGCAAAGCCTAGGCCCATGCCAAGTGCTACCTTCTCCTCTGGGTGAAGGATTCCCAAGGAGGATTCAATAGAGTTCGGAGTTCTATAGGGTAGCTCCATCATCCAGCCTTTCTTTCTTCCTGCACCTTCCCAACCTAATTTTGAGGATCCTTTGTTTCCTGATTTTCAGATCAGCCCTCTCCAGTCACCCCCTGACATCCACTCTGCATCACCCTGTGTGGGGTCCTATTTGACCTGGTCATGGTCTCTACACTACCCTATTCTCTATGTCCCTGTCACATCTGCCTCTTTCCATTTGAACAGCTTGTTCCTTTGACTTCGGTGCCCCTGTGCCCACTCCATACCCATCCTCCACAGCTGCTCAATTCCTCCTTGGCCCCCCCCCAGCAACATCCTGGACTCTCTCTTCATTCTAGTTTGTACTTTGCCTTTTTCATTGTCTGTGCTAGTATTAGGACTTGAACTCAGAGCCTGAGCACTGTCCCTTAGCTTTTTCACTCAAGGCTGAAACTCTACCACACCTCTACTTTAAACATTTTGGTGGTTAATCAGAGGTGAGAGTTTCCTGGACTTTCCTGCCTTGGCTGGCTTCAAACAGCGATCCTCAGACCTCAACCTCCTGAGGAGCTAGATTGACAGGTGTGAGCCTCCAGCGCCCAGCTTGTACATTGCCTTTTTTATGAATCCAAACCATATGCTTTCACCGTCCAGAGCCATGGGGCAATACCTACAGAATGTGCATATTCTCATTTTGGTTATCCTTTATTGGAATCTCCAGTTCTTACATTGGTAGAAGGAATTCCAAAACTAAGGAAGACTGAATCGATCCCAAGTATGCTTAGACCCAGTCAGTTCTGTGTCCTGTAAAATGTTATGTTCCTCACTTAGACCAGAACTTCCCAAGCTTCTGAATGCTTATGGTTTTCACAAGTGCAAAACTCAGGGATGGTTCAACCCCAAGGTGGGGTAAGCATCCTGAACACTGTGAACAATGGATTCTTCCCCATTTCTAAGCTTCCCCGTCCTGCCTCTGGCCCCACTGTAGCCTTTATCATGGATTAGCATGCTGAAAAATTACTATTTGGGGGTAAACTTGGTTTTGTTGAAGCTTGTATTCAAGAATCATGTAGCTGGGCTGGGAAGGTGGCTCAGTGGTAGAGTGCTTGCCTTGCATGCATCAGGCCCTGATTCGATTCCTCAGCACCACATAAGAAGAAAAAGCCGGAAGTGGCACTGTGCCTCAAGTGGTAGAGCACTAGCCTTGTGTTGAAGAGCTGAGGGACAGTGCCCAGGCCCAGAGTTCAGGCCTTAGGACCAGCAAAAAAAAGAATCATGTAGCCTCCCAAAGATGTCATGGGGCAGTAAGACCCTGAGCTGAGGGGTAAAGATTCCTGAAATCAAACGCAGAATCAGTCACATGCCTTGTGGTTTTAGACTGAATAGATTATTTCTGTCATGTGAGCAGTAACAAGACA